TATGAAGCTTTAATGTCAGATATACAAGAGGTCGGGACATGACGCTCTACGTTGCTGGTATTGCTTTGATAAGATTATCAAAGCGAGCTGATACCAAATGCCTTAGCTGCTCTTCACTTGGAGGATGATCAAGGAGGAGATTGGTTCTCGGATTCTAGGGCAACAACCCATATCGCATCATTGACCGGTAATCTCAATTCTTTCTCTCGTTACTACGGTTCAGACACAGTAATGGTGGGGAATGGAGTTTGTTTGCCCATTACCCATATTGGCTCAACATCTTTATCTACTAAATTGCATTCATTTCCTTTAAATGAGGTTTTGGTTGTCCCAGAGATTAAAAAAAACTTGATTTCGATGTCTAAGTTGACTGACGATTACCCTTGCTCACTAATCTTTGATGAATTTGGTGTATCTATTAAGGAACATCTGACGGATTCGGTAATCAATTTGGGAAAGAAATGTGGGGGTCTTTACAAAGTAAATCAAGCACAAACAGAGTCGTGGTACTCTCAAAGACAACGGGCCGCCAGTAGTGAAGTCTGGCACCTTCGATTTGGGCACTCAAAACTTTCAAATGATAAAGTTTATTGAGAACAACAATAAGATCAAATCTACAAAGGTGACAAAGAGAATATGTGGAAGCTGCCAGGTTGGAAAAAGCAATAAGCTGCCCTTCAATATCTCAGAATCCCTAGCTAGTAAACCACTTGTAAAAAATCTATTGTGATGTGTGGGGGCATGCCCCGGTAGAATCTTTTCAATAGTTTAAATTCTATGTAGTCTTCACAGACAGTTTTTCACGGTTCTCATGGGTGTATCCAATGAAGAGAAAGTCTGAGTTCTTTTCCATCTTTGTCATGTTCCAAAATCTTGTTGAGAACCAATTTAAAAGTCGAATTAAATCTTTCCAATGCGACGGTGGAGGGGAATTCAATAGTAGCCCGTTAATCATTTGAATGAGAAATGAATTAAAATGTTGGTCTCCTGCCCATATACGCCAGAACATAATGGAAATGTCAAAAGGAAACGTTGGCACATCGTTGAGTTGGGTCTTTCTATGCTCTACCATGCACGGGTATCGTTGATTTATTGGGTCAATGCGTTTCTGACTACCACATTTCTCATCAATCTGCTGCCATCACCAGTGTTGGGAATGAGTAGTCCGTTTGGTAAGCTCTTTGGTAAAGAGCCTGACTATGGGTTTCTTCGAGTCTTCGGTTGTGAGTGCTATCCACGCCTTAGACCATATGGTGCAACAAAGTTTGATCCACGCTCATTACCCTATATTTTTTTTGGGTATAGTCAGAGACATAAAAGGTTATCGATATCTTTATTGGCCTACAGGAAGGGTGTATGTAAGTCGTCACGTGATATTTGATAGACGAGATTCCCATTTTCTGATCAATTGGGAACTGTTTTTCCTAGGTATTCACATTTGTATCAGACTTGGTTACAAGGGGTAGAATTCTTTACTAGACAATCTGAAACAATAGTGAGTGAAGGGAAAACATCACAACACACGAGCATGGGATTTCTATTTGATGATAACATCTCTGGACAACAAAATTATGAGCTGCTAAATGAGACAAATGTGTAGCAACCACAGTTGGGTTCACAAGAACCATGCACAGACTATGAAACACATGAAGAAGCAACAGTCTTTGCCTTAGGTGATTTACCAGTTCCATCCACTCAACAACAATCTACTCACCCAATGCAAACAAGGTTGAAATCGGGAATAAGGAAGCTCAATCCGAAGTATGTTCTGTCTACAACCCATGAGATCCCAAAAGAGCCGAAAACAGTTAAAGGAGCACTAAGTCACCCGGGTTGGAGGAAGCCATGATAGAAGAATTGGAGGCTCTCAAATTAAATCAAACATGGGAGCTAGTACCAAGATCTTCAGAAATGAATGTCGTCGGATGTAAGTGGGTGTTCAAAGCCAAGTTGGATGCGGAAGGAAACCTTAAGAAACTGAAAGCACGATTAGTGGCAAAAGGGTACCATCAAGAGAAAGGCATTGATTTCGCCGAAACTTTCAGTCCTGTGGTTAAACAGGCAACCGTCCTCTCCATGGCAATTATTAAAGGAAGGTTTATCCATCAACTGGATGTGAAGAATGCATTTCTTCACAGGTCATTGAATGAGACGTGTTTATGGAACAACTGCCGGGTTTTGTGAGTTCTACGATGCCTAACTCAGTTTGTTTACTCAAGAAGGCATTATATGGTTTAAAACAAGCTCCGCGAGCTTGGTTTGAAAAATTCAGCAACTTTTTGCTGGAACGGGGATTTCATTGCAGCTCTACTGATCCGTTGATGTTTATTCTTCACACGGGTTAGCACACCTTGGTATTATTATTATACATTGATGACATTATTTTGACGGGCAGCTCATCATCTCTACTTCGGGAATTAATAGAAGCTTTAAGCAGAAATTTTTCTATGAAAGATCTCGGACGACTTCACTATTTTCTCGGTATTGAAGCCAAGTTTATGGGTCCGAACCTATTTCTAACACAATCAAAATATGCTGTTGATTTGTTGCAGAAAGCAGAAATGCAAGACAGTAAGCCGATTGAGACCCCGTTGCCTATCAAAACTCATCCAATGGTACAAGACATGGAACCTTTTCATGATCCTCACTCCTTTCGAAGTCTTGCGGGTGGATTACAATATCTAACGATCACAAGATCGACATCTCTTATTTAGTAAATCAAATTTGTCAGAAAATGCATTCTCCTACGAATGGTGATTTCAAATTGTTAAAACGGGTGTTGCGGTATGTGAAAGGAACTCAGCAACTGGGGCTTTATTTTCACTCTAATAGCATACTGAATTTATACGGGTATGCGGACTCTGATTGGGCTGGTTGTTCTGAGACTTGGAGGTCAACGATCGGGTTTTGCACTTTCTTGGGATCAAATATCATTTCATGGTCCGCAAAACGGCAAGTGACAGTGTCAAGGTCATCGACGGAGGCTGAATATAGGGCCTTAGCTTCTGCCACGGCCAATCTTACATGGGTTTCTTTTGTGTTGAGAGATTTGGGTATTTCGCTCACGGGTCCGACTTTGCTTTACAGTGATAACCGCTCGGCCATTTCATTGACAACGAATCCAGTCCTTCATGCAAGGACAAAGCACGTGGAGATCGATTTTCATTTCATTCGAGAGAAAGTCGCTCTCAAGTCACTTGAAGTCCGTTATGTTCCTGCTACTCATCAAATTGCTGACATATTTACAAAAGCTTTATCGCGCTTTGATCATTGCAGGTTACGATACAAACTGGGACTAGGTTTTCCACCTAATCCCAGTTTGAGGGAGGCTGATAAGGTTAATAATATTGGTGAACCATCGGAAGGTGCAGAAGAAGAGAAATGTCTAGATTTAAAGAAGTTATCATCAATTCAAGAAGAGGTTTTGGTTTCTCACAAGGTGAAGAGCAACACGTGCAACTCATCTCATTGCCATAGCAAAACCAATTCCGTTTCTACAGAGCAAGGCGGAGAAAAAAAGAGAGTAGAAGAATTTATTTTCTTCAGAGACAAGTGTCACGAGCCAAATGGAGGAATGCATAATTGTTTTGCTGCCTTAACCTTAGTCCCAGCTGAGTAAATCTAACTACAGAGTGGCAATCGATTAAGGAATAATTGAGTGACATGTGGTATGGCTAATATTTTTCACACAAGTTTTTCATCTGGTTGTCTTCTTAATATAAATAGCAGTATGTACTGTAGAAGAAAAAGACTGTGTATTATGGCTTTCAGTGTATAACATTTTTCTCCTGGGAAATTTACCTTTGAATCGTTATCTTCTTAATTCCTCTGATTTTCTTCACCTCTTCCCCCTTCTTGCGTTCCTCCTCTGATATATCCTCCATGATCTCCTTCTTCATAGGCATAAAAACCATAGCTTTCTTCAAAAAGTACAATCTTTAGTTCTTTACTACATTTCGCTCATGCCCTTATGATGAGCTCTCGATTCGCATAAATCCTCCAACTCACACCCCAATCAGACCTCATAGCAAATGAGAAGTCGACATGGAGAAGAAATTACCTTCTGTTCCTGAAGATCGAGGGATTGAGGATCAACTTCTTTTTAGCAGAAACATGCTAATAGTTTTTAAACTCTTTTTTCTAACTATTTTATCACACTTCCCAAAATTCCTTTCTGCGACATTTTATCCACTCGATTGACAACAAATCCAAATCATGTATTAAAATGTAAATATATGCTCGATGTGGACAGTAATTACGTTAGAGGACCTACTTAATTAGTGTGAACCAATATCTTATATGCATCATGTCAACTTTCTCCATCAAACATGACCAAAGTTTAGTAGAAAGAAGAGAGACGTGAGAGAGTTTGAGAACGTATAAACAAATTAAATCTTACCTCATACTCTTAAATTCCCTTTTGACCACTTCTTCGTTTGGATGCTCTCGACAATATAACATTATCTCCGACAATGCTTTTCTAATTAAATAGAAATTATCCTAATTAAATACCATGTCGATCGTTTTGGAAGTTGAAACATATATAAAAAATTGTCCTTTCTTAAATATATTAGAATAATGGGGTCGTTCTAATTTATTTGCACATTGCATATTCAAAATCTTACCTCATGTTCTTAATTCCCTTTTGACCTCTTCAATTGGATGCTCTCAACAACGTAACATTATACCAGACAATGCTTTTCTAATTAAATAAAAAAATAATTCAGCACAAATAATTAAAATAAAATATCATCTCAATCGGTTTGGAAGTTGAAACGTAAAGCAAAAATTATATAGTTTTAGATATATTAATGCAATATGGTCTTTCTAATTTATTTACACATTACATAATCAAAATCCACTTTTTAGGGAGTAGTTGGTGCCTCTTTCTGAGTAATGGAGTGGTTGGCCTTGGCACTTATTTTACGTGCATGAAAAGACTCCTCCTCCTCTTCTTGTTGTTCTTCTCAATTTAAGACTGATTCTACGGATGTTCCCATTTCATTTCCCCAATTCATCGTCTTTGCCATGCCGATCCCCGTGAACGACAACATGGGAAGCTCTTTCCACGAATTCAAGAAGCGGGCCTCTTCGTTTCTCAAAGAAAAGATCGTCAAGAACGTTCGCCTGAAGCTGACTGATGTTACACCAGCTGAAATGTAAATTCAATCTTCTATTTTCACTTGTTACCAACAATTTCTGAAACTTTTAATCTACTTCTGTTACCTCCATTTCTCGGTTTGAACCAAACTATGTATGGCTTCAATTTTTCTTTTCAGCGCAATTGGTTTTGGTGACACAGTTCAAAACCAAGAGAAACATGTCCAAAAACGAATTTTGATCTTGGGGCCTTTTGTTGATAGCAAAAGGGGATATGACAGTAGTTGAATATGTTGTTAATTTGATTTATCTTGCATAGTATATGAATCTACTTCAGAGAAAAGGTTGCATAGACTGTTTTCGGTTGGGTCACCGCTATACGAATGAAGCTTTCGATAGCCAAACCGCTGCACGTTTGTGCGCTCTATTTGATTTTGTAGTCATGGTGTGGATTATGTGTATGATTTCTGTCTCGTCCCTTCTAATTCCATCTAGATTTCTTGTAAATTTAAGCGACCAATCAAATGTTCCGATGATGCCATTGTTGTTATTTTACAGCAAAAATTGGTCGAAATTTTGTTGTTCCCCTAAGACTAGTGTTCCTTCTAATCACACTTGAGTTTCTCATGTTAGTTTGCTTCTTGATGTTTGAGTCATAAAGATTGACAGAAGAAGCTACAAATGGAAATCCATGGCCGCCGGATGTGCGCAGTATGGCCATAATATCTCACGCCGCGTTTGAAGTGGATGATTATTGGAGAATAGTAGAGATTCTGCACAAGAGGTACATAATTATCCCTCTATTTTTCACCTAAAATTCGAAATGAATGAACATGACCTTTCTTAGCAAACTCACCATTAATCTATTTGATTTACATGTCAAATGAGTAGGTTGGTGCAATTTGATAGAAAGAACTGGCGAGTCACCTACAAGGCTCTGATAGTGTTGGAGCACTTGCTAACCCACGGACCACAACGTGTGGTTGAAGAGTTTCAAAGCGATAAAGACGTTGTCAAGGAGATGAAAGACTTTCAATACGTTGATGAGAAAGGGTAAGTGAAGAAAAAAGAGATGTGTTTGGTAAGATTGATGTTCATGACTAGCGAAACTCAATGTAATTCCTCTACATATGATTTCCAGATTCAACTGGGGTGCGCGAGTTGGCAACTTGTCCGAGAGAGTACAGAACCTGCTCGACAACGATGAATACTTGAGAGAAGAAAGAGTGAGGGCACGCAAGTTGACTCGAGGTATACAAGGCTTCGGGAGCCTCCAGCGACCGTTTTCCAAGGACGCGAGCGGCTTCAAAGACTCATCATCATCATCACCATACGGCAGGTGCAATTCTCATTACAGCGAAATGACTGGATTTCACAAAAAAGAAGACACTTTGATGGAGTCAAACACGATGATGGATGGCAATGAAGAGTGTCATTACAGCATAGAAGACCATCCTTTCTGCGAAATCGGGCGTCCGACTAATAAGATATCTCTTCTTCCTAGTTCGAGTGCCTGATCAAGATTTTCGGTTTGTGAAGTGATGTAAATTGACCTTACTTAGGAGATGGGGAAAATTAGAAGTCGGTTCTTTTGTTTCAGTTCCGAGGATAGTGTACCTTTTGTCAGCAAACACAAATGAAAGGGTTTATATGACTTTGCTCAACTGACTTTGGGTTGATTTGTGATTTGTGCGGGTCTCAATAAACAGTGGTCTCAATTGTGCATGGTTTATATATGGCGGAACGTCTTTCGGCCCACGCGGTAGCTCGGTCAACGAACAATGGAAGTTGGAACATCAGTTACTTACAAGAAAAGATCAAAATAATTTGGAGAAATTTGAGTCAAGAAGCTATCACCATCACTCAAATGATAAAAAAACACACTCGCTAGACAATATATAAGTAGACTATCAGCCAAAATAATCAGAAGAAGGGTTCAACCGAAGCTCTCCCAAAGGCTACAAATGGTTGAGCCTTGACATCAATTTGCTGGCAATAGAGACAAGTTGCTTGTGAACTTAACCGGGCATCACCAATTGACCGAGCAACATACATAGAATTCAGCAAACACCATACGTATGAAGATAGCTTAGACCCTGTGACATAGAGGTTGATACAAACACTTCGACAAAGTATCCTTCCTTTGAGAAGTTTGTAGCACTTTGTACCCCGTATCGACCGATGCACAACATGTTATTCCTGTCTAAATCCTATCGATGTGTTTTCCGAGTGTTGGCTAGTAAGACCTGTAGGTGCCAGCATGTGGGCATTAGATCGTCGATCTTGTTCAACAGATTAAGAAAGGTGCAGTAATATGTGTAAACAGGACAATCCAGAAAAAAAGAAGAAGAAGCAAAACTGGCAATAGAATGAGAATTATACAGAACAATAGAAAAGGCTTGGCTTTTATAAGATAAATGCATGACAAGAATCCTGGACTTCATATCAACTGAATGATGAAAAGGAAATGATTTTGGCAATCAAGTATTGCCTTCTCAAGATCTAATCAAAAGGGGATACAAAAGTAGAATCAGAAAGAGCAGCGAGTTGCGTTTCTTTCTAAAAAGGACAGTAATCTCTTCCCTCGATGACCTTATCCTCGAAAAGTTAGAAGCACTTTCTGTGCACAATCGAAGGTCCAGATTCATCATACTCTGCCTTTGCAATCCACATCTGCACCCAAAAACAAATGGCAATGTGCTCAAACCATACCTCTTTACCAACATAAGATGCAAATAATGTACATATTATACGAATGCATGAGCTAGACGAACCTGCTGGAATGTGCTAAGAGATGCCAAGATAGAACCACCAATCCAGACACTGTACTTCCTCTCAGGAGGAGCCACAACCTTGATCTTCATGCTGCTCGGTGCTAGTGCTGAGATTTCCTTGCTCATTCTGTCTGCAATACCGGGGAACATGGTGGAACCACCACTGAGGACGATGTTTCCATACAGGTCCTTCCTGATATCCACATCGCACTTCATGATGGAATTGTAAGTGGTCTCATGGATTCCAGCAGCTTCCATTCCGATCATGGACGGCTGGAAGAGAACCTCCGGGCATCGGAATCGCTCAGCCCCGATAGTAATGACTTGACCGTCCGGCAACTCATAGCTCTTTTCAACGCTTGAGCTGGTCTTGGAGGTCTCAAGCTCCTGCTCATAGTCCAGGGCTATATAAGCCAACTTCTCCTTCATGTCTCTCACAATTTCACGCTCAGCTGTGGTAGTGAAGGAGTATCCACGCTCGGTAAGAATCTTCATCAAATGATCGGTGAGATCACGCCCAGCCAGGTCAAGACGGAGAATGGCATGAGGGAGGGCATAACCCTCATAGATTGGCACCGTGTGACTAACACCATCACCAGAATCCAACACAATACCTGCAACAAATAACAAAATAAACGCACAATCCTAATGCCTGAAGCAGAGAAAAATGTTCCTATAGATCATGACAATTCAACCTTCACAGACCAACCCAAGAATAATTCAGATTGGCGGCCCTCAAGTCAAATCCATCTTTGATCTCTTGTATCTAGTTCTTTTTTTGGGTGGTACCCCCTTGGTACCTTTTAATTGAATTATCTTAAAAGAAAAAGTGAAGTCCTTTTCTTTACCTTAAAAGTGAAACTAGACTGCATAGCATAATTTTTTTCCTTGGGAAGTTAGTTTTATCGCAATTCTCTACTTCAAGAAATTCCGTTAGTGGAAAACCGATCAAACTACTCACCAGTTGTACGACCACTTGCATAAAGGGAAAGGACAGCTTGGATTGCGACATACATAGCAGGAGTGTTGAAAGTCTCAAACATAATCTGGGTCATCTTCTCACGGTTAGCTTTGGGGTTGAGAGGAGCTTCAGTCAGGAGAACAGGGTGTTCCTCTGGGGCAACACGAAGTTCATTGTAGAAAGTGTGATGCCATATTTTCTCCATGTCATCCCAATTGCTAACAATCCCATGCTCAATGGGGTACTTCAGTGTCAAGATACCACGCTTGGATTGGGCCTCATCACCAACATATGCATCTTTCTGACCCATGCCAACCATCACACCGGTATGACGAGGACGCCCAACAATGCTAGGGAAGACGGCCCTTGGTGCGTCATCACCGGCAAATCCAGCCTACACGAGTATTTTAATCACTTTGTAAAATTTGATCTGGTAAAGGACATCAAAGATCTGGAACTGGAGATATTCTGAAATCTGATTCGAAACAAGCTCCAGATGCGATTAGAGAAAATGATACACCAGGGGAAAGCCAAAAAGTACCTTGACCATCCCAGTTCCATTATCGCAAACGAGTGGCTGAATATCCTCAGCTTCTGCCATCTTCTAGCTGATCAACAACATTACAAGATGCGAGAAGAATTTCATGAATCTTATATAGAACAATTACACCAGACAGGCCTTTTCCTCCATTCAACCGTTTTTAGTGTCTAAGACATCCACTAGAAAACAAAATGCCATGCAAACATAGTTATTAGCTTGAGCAGGTGCTAAGCCATTGAGCAAGATATAATGTCACAAGGCAAAAGGGGAAAAAGGAAATAAATGAAACTAAAAAATTGCATCTCCGAAATATGAGCAGAAATAGTTTTCCTAGAGAACCACCCAAAGAACAATAAAGCACCGGACATTATGAGCATAACCTGTTAATCACATGGGCCATAGGTCATTATCAGATGCATAACATCCAGGACCACATAGGATTATAGCGAAGGCCCACCAAATTATGCATTACCCTTAATTTGCTACAGGAAATTTGAAACTCTGTGCTTCTAGGCATTCCTGAACTCCACGTTGTTTAGAACTTTACCATTGTCTGTGAACCACCAGAAATTGAATTACACTAAAGGTTACTAAGATAAGATTTTAGTAGACAGGAAATCAATCGAAGATAACACCATGAGGAGAAGGAGACATCCGTTTAACAATGTATATATTGATCTAATACATTTTTCACCAACTTCTGCATTATGTTTTCACTCAAATTTATTCACCGCTCATTACTTCACTCGGTTTAATCCTCCGAATCCGAAAACAGACACGGCGATGTGGAGAATAGAAATGCATACAAATTGCGAACCGTGATGACAAAGCAATCGTTTTCTAGAACGACCCAATTCAACCCAGACATGCCGCATTGCCGAAGCTCACAAATGGCACGTCCAACATGGAAACAAAACTATATCAATCAAACACTCCTCAGCAGAACACAAACGAATCCTATCTAACCAGGAGGGCATCTCCCAAATCCAAGCAGGCAGCACATTCAAAACCGCGGAACAAAACCGACGACCGGCCCAATCGCGTGCAAACATTGAAAGGGTGGCGACCCAGCAATGAAACTCAAACTCCCCAGCTCGAAAGATCATCCCCCACGAGCGGACGCATCGCCAGAGCAGGCAATGCGTCGACAAGCCGACGACCCACGAATCAAGTCGCGCCCTTTCCCCTCGATCCCGGGTCTCGCCGGGAAAGGAAGGAAGCGACAGATCCGAACGCCGGCGAAGGGAGGAGATCGCATTACAGAGAGAGAGAGAGAGAGAGAGAGAGAGAGAGAGAGAGAGAGAGAGAGAGAGAGAGAGAATGTGGGCAAGACGGGCAATTCACCTGGCTGCGAGAATGTGGGAAGACTGAAGGCGAGGGAGCGGCTCTGTCTTCTGAATCCGAGGAGGAGGAGGAGGAGGAGGTGGGGTGGGAGAGGTGGAGATGATGATTAATACGAGGAGGACGACGAAGCAGGCGTACGGACGGACGAGCGGTTCGTGCGGCTGATTGCTCTGGGCCTATTATTACTGCGTGCCCCCACGCCCACTCGTTTTGGAAAACCACATTTTTTATTGGATGCTATTGTTTTGGCCCCCTCTTCTTTCTTTCTTTTTTAAATGGCGCTGGTAAATTCTAAAATTAATTTTTCTCTCATCATAAAAAAATAACCGCCCACGAAAAAAAAACAAGCAGGTAATTGAAATTAGGGTACCTCTGATTTTGTGAGTAACAATGCATGAACATCGCGCGTATGAAAAGACTTAATTAAAATGAGCGAGAATGACGCAAATAATCTCTGAACTTTTGTTCACTGTACAATTGTGGTCCATGGACTTTCAATTTGTTTAATGGGATCCCTGAATTTTTACCAAATATTCAATGTGGTCCTTGAACTTTCAATTTGTTCAATGTGATTCAGAGTTCAAATTAGTCCTTGGATTATATGAAAATATTCGATGTTGTTATCGAACATAAATTAATGGAGGGATAACATTGAACATTTTCATATAGTCCAGGGACTAGGTTGAACATGTACCAAAAATTCAAGGACAACATTGAATAAATTGAAAGTTCATAGACCACATTGCATATTGAGCTATAGTTTAGCGACTTCGCTGAATAAATTAAAAGTTCGAGGATCACATTACACATTGAGCCAATGTTTAGGGACCATTTGTGTTATTAACCCTTAAAATTAATAGTTAGTGATGTCCGTGCCTATAATTCATTGATCAGAAACGAGAACAAGAGGATTGATTGAGTAAGTTTATTTTGTATAATTGTAATGATTAAATGATGAACGAAGAGAAGAGATAAGAGTTCGTCAGAGATCTTTAATGATTGATGCAGAAACAAATTATATTCTTTACCGTACTATATCCGAACGACATAAGTAAAACTGAAATTCTTTCATATGTAGGGTAAATTTGGTTGACTGAAAAACAATTTCTTGGAAATTATTCTAAGCTTTTTCATCGTTTTAGTGACGGAAAGCTACTCAATCGATGGAAAGTGTCTGATCGAAAACAACAAATTTAAATGGTGAAAAACGATTTTCTCTTTTGGTAGCGAGGGAATAGTTTTGCCAGATCTCTTATTTTGTGTTTAGGTGAGCAGAATAGTATCAATTAACTTCATAAAATCTTTATGCAACAACCTATGTTGCATCCTCATATCAAAACCCACGATCTGGTAACAAATTGGAGGAACTTGGGAAACCTTCATCATCTCCACCAATGGTAATAAAATCCCTAGATTCATGCCATCTATTAATTTGCAGACTCTAAATTTCCCTATTTTTTTGTAATTTGATTGTATTTCCATATCTGTTGTAATATTGGTTGTTCCAGCTACCTTTTTCATTTAAGATCCCATTATACTCCCTCTCTTTTTGTTCCTTCAAACCTTCTGCGGTATCAAAGTTTTCACCTCTAGCGAGCTTAGATTCAACCCTCGTCTCAACTAATGTTAATTCTCTTAATGCCTCTGAAGTAATGATTTCGATCACTGTAAATTTTCGATTACCACTAAAGCCTAATCGACATAGCTATTGTTTTTAAAGCACTCGATGCAATGCATTATCGCTACGTTGTCGTGGGATTTTACTGGTTCAATTCTCTTACAATAAGCTTTTCTTGAAAGTATGAGATTCCAACCCTTTAGGGAAAATGACACAAATGGTCTCTAAATTTTGGTCCAATGTGTAATGTGATCCTTGAACTTTTAATTTATTCAATATGGTACATGAACTGTAACTCAATGTGCAATGTGGTCCTTTCACTTTTAGTTTGTTCAATGTGGCCCCTGGATTTTTTTATACATGTTCAGTTTAGTTCCTGAACAATGTGAAGATGTTCAATGTTGTACCTGAATTTGAATTAATGGAATGACAATATTGAACATTTTCATCTAGTTCAGGGACTAAGTTGAACATCTATTAAAAGTCCAAGGACCACATCAAACAAACTAAAATTTGAGGAATCATATTACACATTGAGTTAAAGTTCATGTACCAAATTGAACAAATTAAAAATTCAGGGACTACATTATACATTGGATTAAGATTTAGGGACTATTTGTGTTATTATCCCAACCCTTTTATTCGCTCGCGCCTCCGCAGATCTTCACTATTGGATCGAAGGAAGCCGAAAAAATCACGACCCTTTGAGTTGAGATCCGTAGGACGGCTAAGATCTGCTTGAATTCAATCCGACGGTGGAAAACCATGAGTGCACCGTGCGCGTATTTATGGTTGGTTTTGGTCGAGCCCCAAAAGGCAACGGAAGCGCAACCTTCTCAGTATTCATTGTTTTGGGCCAAGAAAATCCGGGGCCTTACTACGTAAGATTCGATTGCATTGTTCCACCCCCAATCCAGACATTATTCTTCTCAATCTGCACGAGACAGCTGGGCGTAGTTACCCAACTGACAAGAAGCTGAACGAGCGGATTTGTGGGCACAAGAGATTAGCAGAGCAGCACGGAGGTGGGGAGTTCAAGAAGAGGATGAATCAGCGATTTGGCGGCGCGAGGCAGCCCACCGGCACTCCGTCGCTAGCCTGGTCGTGCGTCGTGGTCGTCGCCTCCCTCCTTGCCGGCGCCTCCGTCGTCCACAACATCTACAAGCCCGATCTGGTATGTCCGTCCCTCTCTGGCCGCCAGCTGTTCGATGCAATGCCTGACCGAGTCTTGCGGGTTGGCAGGGTCTATGGTGTTTGCGAATCTCGTGTTTAATATTGGTCTTGACTGGTGTGTGTGCAGACGTTGCCTCCTCTGGAAAGCGTTGAGGAGGCCAAGAAGAAGCAACCCACGAAGGAATGAAGGAAAAGCTCCCTGTCTTGATACTTAGAGATGGTTTTGGCTACATATTTTACTCCGTGACAAAGAGCCAAATAACGATTTCGCCAATTGGCCGTTCTGCGATCTTGCTTTGTTGTACCCATTCTAAGTGTCGACTGCGTTTTTGTGCTTCCCATTGCTCACGTAATCTTTGTTCATCTTTCTGCTAATTCTGCAAAGTGGACTTGAGAGAGACTTGCTTTCTCACTTCCATTGGCGAGATTTGGTTTGTCAGTGGAGGCGGCTCTTTTCCAAAGTTTGTTCCGACGTGACTTGCGAACTCAACTCGAATGCCATGCGAGGTTAGTGATCTTATACTTATCTTAAACTTGTTCGTGTCAATATGCTGGATGACATGATTATGGAAGGAATTTGGTTGGGACCAACTTTTGTTGTCATGGATTGAGACCTGACTTATAATGACATATTTAGGATCTGTTTATTTGGATGAAATATTTTACTGGAACACATTTTTTCCATTTTTTGGTGTTTGGTGTGGGAAAATAAGCCAGTCAAGGGAAAATATCTTTCGTCAATCAGAAAACCCACATTTAAAGATAAGGAAAACAACCTCCTAATTTATGTTCTGTTTGTTTCGCAAAAAAATTGACTTTTTTGAAACATGTTTTCCAAGAAATTATTTTTTAAGGAAAATGATAATATCTTGCGGTATTTGATTGAAATTTGAAAATGAACTGGAAATTGTTTTTCGTTGTTTGAAAAGAAAAACTTGCTTTTATTTATGAAAAGAGACCATGAAAATAAATTTTTATCGAGTTAAAATTTCATAACATAAATACTTTTATAGATTGCAAACAATTCGATTTATTTTTTCTTTTATGCTTTTTAATCAGCATTTCTTTATCATTATTGTTGACATAAGTACCCTAATAGAAAAAAGCATCTAGTTTACTATGCGAAAATTGTCAAATCAGTCCTAAACCTATTGTACGGCGGCCAATTCAGTCCTAAACCTTTTAATTTTGTCAATTCAGTCCTAAACCTTTCTAATTCTTGCCAATTCAGTCCTTCCGCCCAATTTTGGCGGCCGGCCGACGCTGGCGTGGCCGGCCGGCTGACGTGGCCGCCGGCCGGCAGCCGTCCACCATATTTGATGTGGCAATTTTTTATTATTTTTTAAAATTTTTTAATCTTTTTTTTTTTTTTTCTTCCTCGGCCGGTCCGGTGACCGCGGCCGGCCGAGGGGAGGGGCGGCGAGGTCGACCTCGCCGGCCTCGTCGTGTTGAGGCGAGGCCGACCTCGCCGCGCCCGGGTTCGCGACGGCGAGGTCGAGCCTCGCCCTCGCCGTCGCGACCCGGGCGACGGCGAGGTCGGCCTCGCCACGGCCGGGCCTCTCCTCGCCCGGCCGCGGCGAGGCCGACCTCGCCGTCGCCACGGCCGGGCCTCTCCTCGCCCAGCCGCGGCGAGGCCGACCTCGCCGTCGCCGGGTAGCGACGGCGAGGTCGAGCCTCGCCGAGATCGTGCGAGGCTCGACCTCGCCGTCGCGACCCGAGGGCGACGGCGGAGGTCGGCCTCGCCGCGGCCGGGCCTCGCTCTCCCGGCCGCGGCGAGGCCGACCTCGCCTCGCCTAGCCGCAGGCGAGGCCGACCTCGCCGTCGCACAGGTCGCGACGGCAAGGTCGAGCCTCGCCCGGATCGGGCGGGTTCGACCTCGCCGTCGCGGAGGCCGACCTCGCCGTCGCGACCCGGGCGACGGCGAGTTCGGCCTCGCCCTGCTTGGGCCTCGCCTCGCCCGGCGGCCGACGAGGCCGACCTCGGCTGTCGCTGGGTCGCGACGGCGAGGCTGTTTGACCTCGCCGTCGCGAACCGGGCGACAGCGAGGTCGGCCTCACCTCGGCGGCGGCGAGGCGGCGAGGGCGACCTCGCCGGCCCTCCCCTCTGGCCGGCCGCCGATCGCCGGTCGCCGGACCGGCCAAAGGAAGAAAAAAGAAAAAAAAAAGAAAAAAAGATTAAAAATTTTTAAAAAAATAATAAAAAATTGCCACGTCAGCGTTGGCCGGACGGCCGGCGGCCACGTTAGCGCCGGCCGGCCAAAATTGGCCGGAAGGACTGAATTGGCAAGAGTTAGAAAGGTTTAGGACTGAATTGGAAAAATTAAAAGGTTTAGGACTGAATTGGCCGCCGTACAATAGGTTTAGGACTGATTTAACAATTTTCCCAGTTTACTATTTATATCTTGTGGATAGAGGTGGCGAGGACCCATTTTGTGACTCATATAAGATGGAACGGACATAATATGCATTGCTTAAAATTTTGATAATGAGCTTGAATGGGTTTTGTCAAAATAGAGCCCTTTAAAAAGATGGGTTTAAATGGGTCTGTCATAGATCCATCTTGAACCCATTAATAACTTAGGGTGTGTTGTTTGAGTGAAATTGTTTTTCGGAAATTATTTTTCTGGACTTTCGTCCGTTTGATTTGCCGAATTTGCCGAAAATGACTAGTCAATCGAAAACACTTTTCGGTCAACGAAAACATTCTTGCATAAAATTAGAAAAGTGATTTCCTAAACCTAAAAAAGTTAAAACACTTTTCGAAATTACTTTTCTCTCTCTTCTCTCTCTATTTCTGTTGATACAAACTCTTGATTCGATCTTTTCACTCTCGAAATCAGTAAAAAAATGGCGATGGTCCTCCTCGCTGGCGATTGTCAGGTAGTAGCTCCGTTGGGTGAAGGGGATAGCTCTCCCCGATCATCACCATCGCGTCCTTGTAGCTCAGTGCGAAGAGGACAAGGTAAGTGTCCTCCATCAGCCCGCAATGCTTGTGCAGTCTGTTCCGAGCTTGGATCTTGGGGATGGCTATGAAGTTAGCTTGCAGCGACGATTTCTTCGTGAGGATGTCGAGGAGTCTGGATGATTCGAGCCGAGTCCGGCTGAGATCGGAGAGGTTGCGACTGAAGGAGGGCGTAGCAGAGGAGGTTCCCTTCTCGGCATCAGTGACAGAGAGATTATCCATGTCAAGGGCGTGAGGCTCGACGAGGCCGTTTGAGTATTGGGGATATTTGGTGAAGATGTACTGTTCGGCATATTGCATTTTGCTTGGTGTGATGGGGCCTAACCATCTCAGGTCGAGCCCGTGCAGTGTGGATATGGCTTCGAAGTAGTCGATGGGGAAGGGAGACGGTGTCGATTTGGGGGACAATGAGGCGGAAGCACTCGTAGACACGGAGGAGTAGAGGATGAGGGTTTTGAGGTCGGCAATCTTGGAGAAGATGAGAAGGAGGAGCGCGGGAAGCGAATCGAGTCCAATGACTTACAAGATAAATATTTCCAAATGAGTTTTAAAAACCAGAAAAGGTTTTCGGTCATGTATCGTTAAACAAAGGAAAACTAATCATTTTCCTGGAAAATGGTTTTCCGTAAAGTTTCTTCCTTTACCATAAAATTTTTCCTCAAATAAACATACCCTTTAAGCCCCAAAAGTTTACTGTAGTTGGGGAAGCGACGAGATGAAATGAGTGACGTAAAAATAAAAGCTTCCCGCCCCAAAACCCACTAACCCACTAATAACCCAATTTTAATCCATGTCACGAGTCTTACGCAGCTAACACAAGCGGCACGCCTCCCCTTCAACTTGGCCCATTAACTCTCATCCTTCTTTTGCTCGTTATTATGAAGTGATGCGATGAGTGATGCAAAAGTACAAGTAAGCTGTAATAAACAAATATATATCTTTTCTTTTATTTTTTTCGTTTTTTCTGTTCGATGTATGAAAATTTTAAATGCGTACTCTACGTATTATATTACAATCATTTAGTCAATTCAAATGGAGGCTTTTATCCTTTGGTGTTTCTCTATGCTTGGCCGCTCACTATCAAGCTCAAGTCGAGGTCTTCTATCCCTTGGTTTATGCATGCTTGGCCGACCAAAAGTCTAAGTCAAATAAGGCCTTTTGTCTGTTGGTTTGTTCAATGCTTGGCCGCCCCTTGTACACTCGAATGAGGTGTTTTGCCTCTTGATATGTGGGAAGCTTGGCCGGCCACTATCAAGCTCTCAAATGGAGGCCTTTTATCTTTTGATTTTGAGTGTGCTTGGCTGGGCGCAATCCCTTTAATTTTGTCCATTCTAGTTAGCATGGAACATGCTCTTTACTCCTTGCCAAAAAGGAGCCAAAACCACCCAAAATATAGGGAGGCCTTTTATCATTTGCTTGTCCATTCTTTCTCTATTCAATCATCAACATGTAGGGGCAAGTTTAAAGGGTTAAGGAGAAGAAAGGAGGGTGATTGGAGGGTGGCCATCAAGTTGAACGAATAGTATAATTAAATGATGAGAAGGAACAATAGTGGGTAGTGCGAATAGCTTTTGCAATATCCACCGTCTTGGTCAAGGGTCGAGCTCCATCGTTGTCAACGAATTTGATTCTTGACTTTCTTGTGGAATGTATGAATAGTCCACTAGCAAAATTTATGTGTTAACACTTACAATGCATCACCTTGAAACCCTCAAGAACTTAAACATAAGGAAACTGAATTAGTGAATTTGGGTATAGAGTTCTCAGCTAGAGTTTGTGAGTTTTGAGGGCAATTAGGAGTTTTGACAACATGTGGCCCATTCCCTCGTCATTCTTTGCAACAAGGGCCTCTGTTTTTTTTTGTTCTCGATATCATGCGACTTGCGTCTTCAATGGAGATAGATAGAATTGAGTCGTGGTAGTTGGAAGTATTGACGGTGTCCGAGTTTAGGGTGTTAGTTCTGGTGGCGGCTTCAGTGATGAAATTGGCGGTGGCGGTGCCAAGTTTGGTGGTGGTGGTGGTTCGGTGTTCAATTCAACCACCATGTCCAAATCAACAAAGTCATTGTCCATCTTAGTTCACATCGTTAGGAATTTGGAAGGATTACATTCAGTCGAATTTCATACGTTAAAGGATTAAACGAAACAACAAAAGTTTAGGGACCACGTTAAGTATCGAGGAAAAGGTTGAAGGATTTCCTCATTGAAAATATATAATAAAGCAAAAGGAGTCTTTGCTACAGGGATAGTGATGATGTGGCTAGCTTGAAACTTTTTTACCATTTTTTTCCTTTTTTGTTATAGAGTTGGTAGGGCAATTTGTTTCTCCATTCAACTTTTTTCCATTTAAATGATCAAACTATTGGACATTCAATGTCTCTCTAATTTTGTGGTAAAAAAAGTAGTATCTCTCT